GAGGAAGTGGAATTCCAAAAACAACATCCCTGACAAAAATAACGAAGAGTCAATAAAGATATGTTGCAAAAACGTTTACTGTAGCAATTTCTGTAGAAAATTCTCTTCTATTATCGCTCACACGGTAACGAATACTGCGCACTGAACAATTCGTTTCACAGTATTTGCTTTATCTGAGCGTGTAGCAATCCCAATTCTTATCAATGACTATCCATCCTTATCAGTTGTGAAGACCTTGGGTTCTGTGATTAGAAAGTCAACGTGGACTGTTTCCTTCAAGAAGTGATAAGTCGTAATTGATAAGAACTGGGATTGCTACACGCTCAGATGAAGCAAATATTGTGAAACGGATTGTTTACTGCGCAGTATTCGTTACCGTGTGAGCGATAATAGAAGAGAATTTTCTACAGAAACTACTACAGTAAACGTTTTTGCAACTTATCTTTATTGACTCTTTGCTATTTTTGTCACGGGATGTTGCTAGTTTTATGCTAGTGAGCATGAAACACAATCCCTCTCAATGCAGGGCGCCTGTGGGTCACCCTCTTCTGTTAAGGGCTCAGGGGGCTCGCGGGTCCCTGGGAGGCTCCTGGGGATCCCTCTGGCCCTTAGAGAGAAGGCGACGTCGCAGGGCCCCAGAAAGAGGCACACGTCTTCTGCCGCTGCAGCACAACTCCTAACGATGCAGCAGTTCCCACGGTCTGCAGTTACCCCTCCACACACACATACACACACACACATACAGAGAAAAGGAACCTCCAGGCCCGGCCTTTCAAAATCGCCTACATGCTTTATTGGATTGAAAACCGTTTTACGAAATGGCCGTAGAATAAAATCAGACTTGGCAGATGCGCGGTGGGTGGGGATGGTCGCCGGACCGACAGGCGCCTGGCACTGCCCGGGATGGTGGCTGGCAGCGTGACGGGTGGCTCTCCCGGAGGAGGCGGAGCCTGCTCGACTTGGCAACGCTGCCTCTTCTTGAGAGTTGGGGGGCAGTGGCCTCCCCCGGAAGCCAGAGCCTCCCCCCCCCCCGGCAGCTCCTGGAAAAGGGGCCCACGGAAGTGCTTCTTCTTTGGGGCGACCTGTCCTGAGTGCAGGAGCTGAGAGATGCAGGCACTTGGTTGCAGAAGGGAGGGGGGCAGGCAGGGGGTCCCCGGCAGCCGGGGCCAAGCAGTCCTCCCGGTGTCCTCCGTGCAGGTCCGGCTCTCGAGGGGAGGGAGGGGGGCTGTGCTCTCGGCCTGGCCCCACATCGGCCCACTGTGTGGGGAGGGGGTATCTGTGCGCGTTCAGAAGGGATCCTGCTCACGGCCCCCACACCGCGTCTGGGCTCTGAGTGCAAGAAAACGAAACAGCGGGGAGCGAAGTCTTGCGCCCCCCCCCATCTTCCCCCAAAGCCCACCACACTTGGATCCTGCCCCCCCCTTTTAGCGGACCCGATCTCAAAGCAGCAGAAGCCTCTGACCTGGGGGAGTGTCTGTGTGTGTGTGTGAGGTCTTCCTCCCCGCTGGGTGGCGGAAGGGTTGAGGTCGGGCCTTGGGGTGCAGGGGCTGTGCGCGGGACTCCAGGGCTTGCCCCCCCAGCCCCGTATCCTCATCCCCCTGGCCCCCCCCCATGGGAGCAGCTTCCACTAAGGCACGGGGGTTCTGAAGCAGGACTGAGCCCCGCTCCGGGCGGGCAGCAAAGGGGAGCCTTTTGAAAAGTGTGTGTGTGTGGGGGGGGGGAAAGACCTCTCTGCCTGCAGAGCGGGACCCCTGCCTTAATTCCTGGACAAGTCGACTACGGAGCCACAAAACCGAGCCTGATGCCCCGCCAGTTCTGCCTCACCCGAGGGAGGGTGTGTGTGTGTGTGTGCGTGCTGAGTTCCGGGCGGGGGCCTGCAGTTCTTTGGTTGGGGGCTAGAAGGGGAGGGAGATCTGCTGGGAAGGGAGGGGAGTCCCACCTCTCACGGGACCCCCTCTGGGCAGAGGGGAAGCAGCGAACGGAGCGGAAGGAAGGAGGCAGCCCGCGGGGACGCGCGGAGGGGAGGCGTCAGCGGTAGCCATGCGCAGCCAAAGCGGGGGAGGAGGGGGAGCTCTGCAGCTGGAGCCAAGGGGGGGACCAGGCTGAGGTCACAAAACAAAATGCATTTTATTAACTCTTCACCCCCCCCCACAGCCGTGAATGGGAAGCAAGGGGTCCCAGGGAGGAGGAGGGGGGTGCCGGCCCACCCGTGTGGCACCCCCTGGGGTTGGGGGGTGGGGGCTCCCCTCCCCTCGCCCCTGATCCGTTCCCGGTGGGCGGGGCCCTTGTCCCGGAGGGATCTCCCCTCCTTCCTGCATCCCGGCTACTTCTTTGGCTTCTTGAAGATCTTGAGGGGGAACTTCTTCTTGCCCGGGCCCGAGTCGGTCTCCTCGCCCGTGGAGCCGCTGTCTTCCTCCCCGACGGCCTTCTTGGAGGCCAGCTGGGGGATGCGCGTGCTGCCCTTGCCGACGTTGTTCGGCCGGGAGTCGGAGACCGGGGAGGGGGTGTCGGGCTCCGTGGAGCTGGGGCTGTGGGACCGGGAAGAGTCGGAGTGGCTGGGCCGGACCCCCGCCCCGCCGGCGGCCGGGTGGCTGATCTCCCCGAGGCTGGACGACTTCTCCAAGCCGTGGTTCAGCATCATCACTTTCTTCATCACGATGGGGCTCTCGGGCAGCTGCTCCTGCAGGGGGGAGGCCTCCGGGTAACGGTGGTGGCCGCCATTGGGGGACGCGGCCCCGAGGGCCAGGTGGCACGAGCCGGGCGCCTCCTCCGAGGCTTTGCTCAGCAGGGTCGGCCTGTTGGGGGGCAGCTTGGGAGCGGAGCTGGACAACCGCTGGTAGTCGCTCAGGTGAGGGAGGGAGGAGTCCGAGTCGGAGTGGGACAAGTCTCTGCAAGAGAGAGAGAGAGAGAGAGCGCAGTCAAGCCGTGGTCATCATAAGACCATAGGAGAAGCCACGTCGGGTCAGGCCCGTGGCCCGTCTACTGCAACGCTCTGTGTCACACAGTGGCCCAAACCCAGGGGCCGTCAGGAGGTCCAGCAGCAGTGTTCCCTCTAAGCTGAGTGAGTGTGAGCTAGCTCACAGGTTTTTAGCCTCCGGCTCACACGTTTTTGCTT